CAAATGCTTTTGTGCCGTTATCAAAAGTTATGCCTGAAATATCTATTATCTCAACTCTTTCCGGTTTTGAATTGTAGGCGATCCAAATTTGTAGTAATCTTTTTCAAAAAGAAAGTTGATTACGAGAATCAATCAAAATCACTTGCACCCCTGCTTCCAAGTTTGTGTGGTCGTTGGGGGCTTGTGGTTCTGAATGTGGACAAACAAGCACAGATAAATTCTATTCCAACTCTTTACTGATGTAAGCTTGATGGCCCTGAAAAGGGCCGTTTTATTGAAGAGGACATCCATGGCCACTTACGCTTGGCGTGTTTAGTTTAGGTGACAGCATCACGGACCTCATTTTCCACGAACACCTTCACCACACCTCGTAGATTAGACCGGAGATACGTCAGACACTACCACGGCGAGCCAGACGACGGATGGCGGTTATCTCGAAGAATTTGCGATGACGGTTGTCACCTCCTTTGCCACGACCTACTGCTATTATTGCTGACCACGCCGTCCGAAGCGAAAATGAGCTGATACCAGACAGCAGCGCTGCTTTATATCTTTTTAGGTTAAAGCAGAATGATGTGCAACCAAGTGGTATAAAAGCTACAAAGACTCCTCCCATTATGAGTAGTTTGCTATCAAGTAGCGACACTGGCTATTTTCTTTTTGCGTACACGGCGAATGAGAACGCCCCAAATTTGAGTTTAGTTCACTCATAATCGCCAAAAGTGTAGGAACTCAGCGATGAGTAAATTTGTCTCATGATTTCCTGTGGAAAACCTAAAAAATCTGCCAGAAAATGGGGAAATTGACGAAAATTTTATTCAGTCTCGGAGTAGTACCAATAGACTGAGTGAATCCAATCTTTACTTTTCTCAAATTCGGGAATTTTTCCCTGGAAAATCCTGGAAAAACCTGGGAAAACATGAGGAATATTTACTCATCGCTGAGTTCCTGCACTTATTTCTGAGATAACTAAACTCAAATTTGGGTCGTTCTCATTTGCCGTGATAGATATCGGCGCCGGTGGTTAGCGTGATTACCTCTCACCCCAGCAGGCCTGGGTCCAATCTCAGTCGGCGCCATTGGCATGTTCTAAGGCATAACATCTCTGGGAGCTGCCTCCCTGCCGTCGGTAGCATTGGAGCTCAGTACGGAAAACAAATCTCGCGTCACTTTTCAATAGGTCCTATCTACATTGATCGATTCTCTTCATCGACACTCTCTTTCGTAAATAACTCGGCTTCACAAATCTGGATCAACAATAGAAAAGAGCCCATCAGCATTTGTAAATAAACCGTTCCAAAGCCCTTTACTCACAAAGCGAAGGCCACCCACACAAACCAACACCATCATCGGATAGGGGTAACTTCTACCTACAAGATGTTGGTGTTGGTTTGTGTGAGCGACCTTCGATTTGTGCGGCTTTGGAACGGTTTGTTTACAAATGCTGATGGGCCCTATTCTATTGTTGATTCAGAAATGTTTCCTGCCGTCTTCGTCGAATTAGATGCTAGATTGTTGCTTCTTTCATCGAAAATATCCGGCCGTGGCGATTCAAAGTTGATCAAGGTTGATCAAAACAATTTGTATCCCTGCTTCCAGTTTGATTACATGAGCATTTTGTGTGGTCGGTGGTTCTGAATATGGACAAACAGGCAGATGAATTCTATTCCTACTCTTTACTGTAATAAGCTTGGTGGCCCTGAAAAGAGCCGTTTTGTTTCCAATGTTGGTGATGATTTAACCTCTGAAACCAAACAGAGTGCGTCTCTGTCACTTCAAAAACGTAGATGACATCCATGGCCGCTTACGCTTGGCGTGTTTAGTGTAGGTGACAGCATCACAGATCTCATTTTTCAGGAACACCTTCAGCACACCTCGTAAATCAGACCGGAGATACGTCAGACACCGCCATGGCGAGCCAGACGACGGATGGTGGTTATCTCGAAGAATTTGCGTTTGGTTCTGAACATGGCGATGAGTGTGTAAAATATTACGCAATTCCATTCTCCCTATTCGCACGCGCCCGAGGATCGGAGGCGAATGCCACTTCGACTTGTTTTGTCTACTTACTACTCTCTGACGACTGTGCTAGGGAAGCAGCATATGCATGTAGGTAATTGGTGGATTTCTTAGTTAATTCGACGCTTTTGGAAAATGCTGAACATTTACCAGTTTTTCAATAGTTTTTTGTTGAAAATAAACATTCGGAAGCATTGTTATCAATGCGTAGCCATATTTCTGATCGATTGGTGATAAAATTATTGAAATTGGACCAGGGGAAGCTGAGTTATTAACGTTCAAAATCTTTCTTAATTTGTTACATGATCCATTTTCGGTTTTCACAAAGTGTACCCCCATATAGAAATCAAAGACGTAGTCCAACGTCAAAAAAACAATGTTAGCTATAATTAATCATAATCACCTCAACACTGCTTACCAGTTCTAGCTTTAGTTCACTTTAGTAGTATAGTTTGTAATTTACTTTGATTTACTAATTAAGATTTTAGTTTCTAGTACAATAAGTAGCCGTAAGTAGAATAACACGTAAATTAATTGCGATGGCGAATTCGCTTTTCCTTTTTCAACAAGTGTATCTTTTGTTTTCTTTATTGTTCGTTTTTACTCACCCGGGGTGACAGTCCGTCAAACCTGTCACTCCGTCGTTATCGGAACCGCCACAGGGATGCGCCCCGCGCGATGCTGTCGGTGTCAGGGTGTATTAAGCTGAAGGTGTGCGCGCTGGCCTAATGGCCAACAACGATGATATCAGTATTTAAATATTTATTGATGAATATTTGTAAAGAATACTAAAGTCCATGTGACATATCGAAATTAAAAGAAATTTAGCATGGCACCTTTATAGATTACTATTATATGACCGATGAAGAAATAATCTTAAATGTAAGCAGGGTTGCTTCCATTAATTAATTAATTTAGCTTTATTTAGGAGGCTTTCAGCCTTAGGCTGGTTCGCCTCCCCCAGGGTTGCTTCCACTCACTTGCTATAAAAAAATAATTTTCTGAATTTTGAAATCATTCGATGTTATAATGATATTTTGTACTTGTTAAATACAAGAAGAGGATGAAAGGTCGGTTTTAGCTATCTTATTCAATGGGACACCGTTTTTTTAGATTCATTCATTAAATATGCCATATGTATAGTTAAATTTATATTGGAAGATACCATTAACCAAGGTTTTTGCCAAAATCTTTGGTGGCATCATAAAATACAAAACAGAAAAGGACATTTTCTCACTGCACACTGTACACGTCAAACAAGCACTACACGCTCAAAGTAAAACAGGTAATATTACTACGCCCAGGGTTACTTCCACTCACTTGCTATAAAAAAATGTTTTTCAAAATTATGAAATCATGAGATGGTATAGTGACAATTAGTACTTGTAAGTTACAAGATGAGGACGTGAAGTATGTGTTTGACACATAAAATCTGTCAATATTGCCAGGGTTGCTTCCACTCACTTGCTATAAAAAATGATTTCCTGAATTTTGAAATCATTAGATGTTATAATGATATTTTGTACAACAATACAAGAAGAGGTTGAAGGGCAAGTGTTTGACTCATAAAACCTGTCAATTTCGCTACCATAGTGTTACAATAAGCGATTTTATGATTCGTGAGCGTTCACTCAGAGTGAGCGCTCGCGAGTCGTAAAATCGCTGATTATGACTATCTGAAAGTAAATTTGACAGGTGTCATGTGTCAAACACTTGCATATCAACCTCTTCTTGTATCTCACAAGTTCAAAATATTATTATCACATTTAATGATTTCAAAATTCAAAAAATCGTGTTTTTATAGCAAGTGAGTGGAAACAAGCCTGAATGTAAGTATCGATCAATAAAGATTTTTAAATGTGTACATCGAAATCATAGAAAATTTAAAGTAAAGAATTGCCGACATAAATCTTTATTTCTGTATAAAGAACTTTGACGAAGTTTCACGAACGGTTGGTCGGGATCATTCTACGTTTTTTAGTACAAAGTAATTGGAGTAGATCTTTGTGCTGGGATTTAAGCAAAAAAATCAATTTGTCGCAATCCGTGTATCGAAGCGCTCGATTTGATTTATCGTCCTGCTTGCGAATTTCTTCACCTTCTTGGTCACCTAAAAACACTGCATATTTTCAGCATAAACCGGGCCATTTTTTGCAAAATTTGGCTGGTTCTCTCTGGACTTCAAAATGTATGCAGTTAACTCCTAATTTGAACGGTCGCATCTTTCGTCCTACGAATGCAAATGAGATCAAAGGTTGATGCAATTGGTTCCAAACAATTAGAAAAACTTTTACGAAAAAAAGAGTATGTATGTTAAATTAAGTTTTCAGAAATAAAATTGAAAAAAATATTACCCGCGAAAATTTAGAATTAGAAGAAATAAACAAGTATTCGCGTGAAGTTTCCCCACTTTTTTGCTACAGCTTCAGAAAAACAATACGTATCGCTTTCAAAATTGGGCTGTAAACAATAAACATGTGGTAAGCCTAGGGGTAAAGACTGCTTTTGATGATGAGCAATATTGGAGTTAATTTTGAGTAACTCTGAGTAATTCGAGTTGCTCATTATTGATTGCACGGTAGAACAGCAACCTGCTTTTGTGCGTATTTTTTTTTTTCAAATGTCAAGGTCAGATGTTTGGTGAAGCAAACATTCAAGAAGTCTTCAACCCACCATCATCCAACGACGTATCATACTGAATCACTATCCTCATCCTTTTTAAGCAGATGTCACTTGAATTGAATGCAGGCAATCATCATTCAACCCCTCCCTCATTTGGCACATTTTTTGTATGAACCTTATTTTTTTGTATAGCTTGTCACAGTTACGGAATCCAGTGTTCAAGCTACCAACATAGGCTACTCCTTCTAGATAGAAGCAAAATTTATTCAAATGGGTCAAGTCTTGAAAACAAAGCTGTCCAGATACCCAAAAAAATGTTCATAAATGTTTAACAATTGTTTACCTTTTTTCCATTCCAGGATGCTGCCCTAAAATCTCTGGTAGAGCAGTACGGTGAAAGGTGGGACGCGATCGCCAAGTTCCTCAAGGATCGAACCGATATCCAGTGCCAGCAGCGATGGACGAAGGTTGTCAACCCCGATCTCATCAAGGGACCCTGGACAAAAGAGGTAAGACTATTCCAGAATATATAGCTATCTATCTCCAGATAACTATACATAGGAAATCCAAGAAGAAAAAAACATGTTCGATCATGTCAGGTTGTTGCCATCATCCTGATCAGGAAAAGGGTGAGGCTCAGTTTATATAAAAGGTTTCCCACTGCTACAAACTTAAATTGCGCAATTTCTCTCGAATCCTTCAAAAAGGGGTCCGTTTCACCCCAGTGCACATTTCGCTACGCTACACATCACCGTCATTTGATTTGTTCGCTGATGGTCTCTCAGCGTCAGGAGCAGGACGACGGCGACGTCTGCGCATATAAATTATGTTTTTCTCCCCCCTCCGACACGTCTGTTGTGTTGGTTGATTGTTGATTGTCCGTATGTATCGCAAGCCCAGGTGGCATTTGCCATCTTGTTTCTAGGTGTATTGCATCAGTCAGCACATGCAGGAAGGCTACAGGTTTCGTTCAATGTGACTAAAGGGGCTATAATAACCACATGTCTTCCTCCTTCGTTCCGGTTGGTGGCGATCGGACATAAGTCATGCGGGTGTGTCATTGTATGTCTGTGAAGTTAAGTTCTTTCGGGAGACAATCTGACCACGCAGTTAACCCTTGATGAGAGGCACCACATTCTACCGGAGTTTTTATTACATCTATGCTGCTCAGAAGCTCCAAGTCTAGAAACAGAGAAACAGAGCTAATTATAATACGAAGAAAGCTTGAAGAAGAAAAAAGTGCTCTGATCATATCCTGCGTAAGCGTAAAACGAATGAATAGTAGCAGTAGGTAGTTACCGATGCGCGGGTGATCTTTATAGGAAAAGAGGAACTAAAATAGACACGGTAACGCAGCGATCGCACTCACTTGAAATAAAAGCGAACATCCAGTAATCGGCACTAATGGAAGCGACGATGATGATGGAACGTAAGAAAACGAAAAAGAAAACCATCGTGAAGGGAAGAGAATGATGATCGCGCGAACGGAGAAGGATGTTGAATGAAGGAAAGGATTGTAAGCCAAGCGAGATGCTCTGTGAAGTAGAAAGACAATCAGCGGAAGTAGATCATTATGTCATTGCGCTACGAGATCTTACTAACTATGAGGTAGGGTGTGCTTTGCGGAAAGAAGAAAGGTATAGTTGTGCGGTTGTGAGGAATAGCGTGTTTTCTGTACAAATTGTTGAATTTTTGCTTGAATAATTTGATTTTAGATTTCTTCAACTCTGTTGAACCACAAGTTTTTAGATGATTCTATGATTTATATTATAGTTTTCAATCACAAGATGTTATCTCAACCAGAAAAATCTGGAAAACTGAGAAAACAGTCATTGTCACTGGAAGAATTGACTCTCACCTAATTAAACCTTCGTCAAAATCCCATAAATTTTTCTTCAGTGACTTAGATTCACCTGGTAACGAAAAGTGATTTTGTGCATTCTCATTCATATTCACTGAACCGGGAGTTGAAAACAACCGAGATTTTAATTGGAACCTTGTAATAAATTTGTTTACACCTATGTTAATTAGTTTCTGTTAAATCTTTTAAATTTGTCAAACCTCTTAACGGAATCCCTTTATGAAGAGCTTTGAGTGTGTTGGTTTATTTCCTTTAAATTCCGTTATGATTGCTCATCTTTTGACAGATACACGTTTTTCTTCTACTACATGTAGACTTCATCAGCACCAACTACCAAGTTGTGTTAAGTACTTGGCACTGGTGAAGTCTACAAGTAGTTGACGAAATACGCATACCTGTCAAAAGATAAGCAATTATAACGGAATTTAAAAGAAATAAACCAACACACTCAAAGATCTTCATAGTTTCTGTTACTAAACATTTTAAGTTCGGTCTCGAATATTTTAATTAATCTTTAATATTTCTTCAAGCTTATAATTCTGAACTTTCCCTTAGCATAGGATATCAAAAATCAAGTCAAATCTTAAATAAATAGTTATATCCCAGCTTAAGGGGAAGTAGACCGCTCCGAAAAAAAAATTACGTTTTGATTTTTCTAAAAATATTGAAAAAAAGTATCAAAAATCTAAAAAATCACATTTTTTCTAATTTTTTAAAGAAAATTCACGTGCAAAAACATGTTTAAAGGATTATACGGTCAAAATTTGGTCAATATCAACTTGACGTATTTCTTTCAATTTTGCATTTAAAAAACCTGAACACCCCTCATTTTGAAGGTGTGTGTGTGTAGAATGTTGCTCCTATTTTGATTTTGGAATTCACTCTTCAGTTGTCAAAATGCCGTCCAAGCAAGAAGAGCAGCGTATCAAAATTTTGCTCGCGCATCGCGAAAATCCGAGCTACTCGCACGCAAAGTTGGCAAAATCGCTAAAAGTTGCCAAATCAACCGTTACAAATGTAATTAAAGTGTTTGGGGAACGTTTGTCGACAGCCAGGAAGTCTGGATCGGGGGGAAATCGAAAACCGGAAGCCGCTGAGACGACAAAGAGAGTTGCCGGTAGTTTCAAGCAAAACCCTAACCTCTCTCTCCGAGATGCCGCAAATAAGCTGGGTGTATCGTCTACAACCGTGCATCGAGCCAAAAAACGAGCCGGACTATCGACTTACAAGAAGGTAGTGACTCCAAATCGCGATGATAAACAAAATACGACGGCCAAAGCGCGATCCCGGAGGCTGTACACGACGATGCTGACGAAGTTTGACTGCGTGGTAATGGACGACGAAACCTACGTCAAAGCCGACTACAAGCAGCTTCCGGGACAGGAGTTTTATGCGGCAAAAGGAAGGGGAAAGGTAGCAGATGTTTTCAAGCACATGAAACTGTCAAAGTTCGCAAAGATATAAATACCTGGTTTGGCAAGCCATCTGTACCTGTGGCTTGAAAGGCAGCATTTTCATAGCTTCCGGGACTGTCAACCAAGAAATTTACGTGAAAGAGTGTTTGAATAAACGTCTGCTGCCTTTCCTGAAGAAACACGGTTGTTCCGTACTGTTTTGGCCGGATTTGGCATCTTGCCATTACGGTAAAAAGGCCATGGAGTGGTACGCCGCCAACAACGTGCAGGTGGTTCCCAAGGACAAGAACCCTTCCAACACGCCAGAGCTCCGCCCAATTGAGAAATACTGGGCTATTGTCAAGCGGAACCTAAAGAAGACCAAAAAAACTGCTAAGGGCGAGCAGCAGTTCAAGGCAAACTGGCTTTCTGCGGCGAAGAAGGTGGACAAGGTGGCTGTACAAAATCTGATGGCAGGGGTCAAGCGTAAGGCCCGGCAATTCGGATTTGGAAAAGCGGAAGCCTAACTGAATATTTTTCCTGAATTTTATACTAATTGAACTTGAAAAAGAAATTTAATTTGATTTTTTAAATAAATGATTTCACCGATTTACACGCGTTTTCCCTTGACCAAATTTTGACCGTATCACCCTTTAGTCATTATGGCATAAAGTTGGACTCAAAAAAACCACAAAACATCAACTTTTCGGTTTTTCTGAGAGTCCAATATTTTTTCATGATGGGATAGAAAAATTTTTTTTGCATGTAATTTTTGACAAAAATCTAAGGAAGAAACTGATTTTCTTGGATTTTTGATAATTTTTCCCAATATTTTTAGAAAAATAAAAACGTACCGAGAATATTTTTTTATTTTTGGGCCGGTGAGCATCCCCTTAATGATACTCGCATCGTACGACTCAAAAGCGCTTACCGTCTCCGAACGCGTTTAGAATATCGAAAGCAAAGCATACATTCCTGAACGAACCGAACGATGCCATTAACGTGAGTCTTCGTGAGTGACCTGTGTGCGAAGAGTATTCGTTCTGCCTTCCATTCATTCTCGTTCCCTTCTCATCGTTCTTTACGAACTGGTGTGATCAGATAAGTGTATAGGCCGCAATGAACGTTCACGGTGAGTAATTTTAGGACTCGCGGCGAGTGCTACCAGTTCCCAATATGAGCAAGATGAACCGTGTAAATTTAAAAAGGAAGATAAGTGACACGGTGGAAGAAGTAAAACATGGCAGTGGGCACAGAACAGAAGGGGAAATGTAAACAAATCGGTGAATCAAAAAGTGGTACATTTTTCTACTCAACGGTGCGTTGTGGTAGCGTTCCACACGGGCTTTCTATGCGCACTAACACTATCATAGCATGCTGCCTATCTTAACTGCAGACAGAAGATGCTTTCTACCGCTAGGTGCACTAGTGTTTGCCAATAAAAAGTGGAGCCACTTTCTGATTCGAAGTTCCACTTCTGTTCTGTGCAGTGAGTGCAAATATCTTTGCCTCGCCGATATAGACGCGGATCGCAAATGCGTCTACGTACAAAATGTGTTCAATCCGGGGAACATCAAACGGCACTTCAATGCCTGCCACCCGTAAGTGGCCCAAATTGTTGAGTAGACTAGTGACCGGGAAAAAAATCTGAAAAACGTGCAAAATCATCGAAAGTGCAAGTGGACACCATGGTCATATTTCACAGAAATAAATTGGAACTACGGCTTTAATTAAAATGATTGCCCGATAATACTGATGCGTGGAGAGGCTGATAAAATATGGTCATTACCTGAGTACTGCGAACTCAGCCGATTTTATTTTTCAAACATCTTGAAAATCTTCCGATGTTTCAAATTGTTTTGCTGAAACAGCTCACGAAATTGTATATACATGCTGTCAAATGAACTATTGGCTCTTCCTCCTCTGCTCCAGAAATAACGTTTACATGGTGATGGGAGTGCACCTGCCTACAAAGCTCACATTACTCTTATAAAGTTTGATTACATTCTTGTTTCAGCAACCCAGTTTTGGCAATATTAATATCAAATAAAAACACTTTTCCGAGCATCACGCTCGATGATTTACATTATCCGCCTACTAAGGTTGATGTTTCGACAGTTTCATAATTATAATTCTTAATTGGTTTTCAGTAGGTGGCAACGGCAACACCTTTACTTGTGGTTTAAACAGTAACTACCTACGTGACTTCTGAGCTCTTTTGAATGTTTGGCTCCTGTTTGACAGTTTGACTCGG